AAAGAAATTAATTATATAAAGAATAGCTAATAATGCACTTCAGCGCGCCATCTCGGATTCAACTATTTAACTATAACTATGATTGAATCTCAATGCCAACTTTATCCTATAGAAAGGGCTGTCTTTAGGGTTTTCCCGACAATTATTCGAATTTTTCTCGCCGTTAAAACCATCCTTGGACTTTATCAAACATTTTAAAAAAGGAATTGGCTAAATTGGTCAAGGCGTTGTTGAGTTATGCTCTTACCAACACATTTTGCGATTCACTTTTATATTATAGATTTACACATTGAAAATGACACTAAGCGGTAACAATTAACATATTATTACAGATAATAACTTTACTTAATCTTCAAAAGTTAATTTAAGTGACAATTTCTTTATAATTTTAAAATCTCACAGCGCCATCTATTGCAAATAGTTAAGAAACATTACAGACGGATATATGACAGCCATGAAGTGTTAACCAAATTTCAATGCACGTAGACAAAAGTATATATTAAATTGCCGTTTTTAAATACAATTAAAATAATCTTGATGTAACAGATTTGAAAATGTACAAACATCTTGTCGTCATACAGGAAACGTGCAGATGTGTGTATTCATTTACTCGTGCCTCTCTCAAAGAATGCAAATCTTCTCTGCGGTCGTGACTCATGCCTGCTGCAAATTCTAATCTAATGTTTGCATGTTAATTACTTATTATTCGCGAACGGCATGTTGGATGCTGCATGTGGAAATGCTTTCTTATTAAGGACATCAGCGTTTAAAAATCGTTTCATGCATTGCACATGACACTCACTCGTTTTTATTCTGTATGCAATCGTTCATGTTCTGCGTGTGTAACTGTTTCCGTCAAAACGTCAAATTGCAAATTATGTTTTTCATTCAATGTTCAGTATCATTATTGTTATTATCATGATTATTATTGGTAATACGCAGAGGTTGAATGAAAAAGTGTTAGGAAAGTGTGTGCGATGTTCTCGGAGCTTCTTCCTACACACGATGTGGCCATCTTGAGTCGCGGTGCGAGGACAAACGACAAAAACGTGTGATGCACTCGTGCAACCACGCAACTACCGTTTTTGTCCTACTAATTTTCAATTATGCATTTCTAGCGCTCATGCACGTCGCCGTGTGCGCTTCGTTAGTGTTGCCTTAATTGGGCACATCGTGAAAATAAATAAGTTTTGAAATTTGAAGATTTTAAAGGTTTTGAAAGTGTTGGAAAGTTAATTTCGTCATTTATTGCTTAAAAACAGTTAAAAATCTTAATTTTTAACTCATTTTGAGTCAATACAAGTCTAAATCAAATAAAATTTGCAAAATTTTAGCAAAACTATTGGTACAAAACACTTTTTTGGCGTTTTTCGCAAAATGGCCGCTAATTTCAAGTCAATACCTTGATTTTAGCCATAAAATCTATCTTAAAATGATAAACCTTCATTTTTCACATATTTTGAGTCAATACAAGTCTAAATCAAATTAAATTTGCAAAATTTTACCAAAATTATTGGTACAAAACACTTTTTTGGTGTTTTTCGCAAAATGGCCGCTAATTTCAAGTCAATACCTTGGCTTTAGCCATAAAATCTATCTTAAAATGATAAACCTTCATTTTTCACATATTTTGAGTCAATACAAGTCTAAATAAAATTAAATTATCAAAATTAAATCAAAATTATTGGTACAAAACACTTTTTTGGCGTTTTTTGCAAAATGGCCTCTAATTTCAGGTCAATACCTTGATTTTAGCCATAAAATCTATCTTAAAATGATAAACCTTCATTTTTCACATATTTTGAGTCAATACAAGTCTAAATCAAATTAAATTTTCAAAATTACATCAAAATTATTGGTACAAAACACTTTTTTGGCGTTTTTCGCAAAATGACCGCTAATTTCAAGTCAATACCATTATAAAAATCATTAAATCCGTCTCAAAATAATAAATCTATGTGTTTACGATGTTTTCGAGTTACCACATTAGGTCAGAAATTTAATTTCTTCATTTATTGCTTTAAAATGTCCAAAAAAACATAATTTTTGACAAACTTTGCATCAATAAAGGTCTAAATCATTTTTTTTTCTCTAATTTTATTAAAATTAATGGTACTAAACATAACTTTGGCGTTTTTATGAATTTACAACTTACTATAACCAATATCCTCAAAATGGCCGCGGGTTTTAAATTACAACGCCATGATTGAACCCACCTCGAAATGATAAACCTATGTGTTTGGCGATGTGTTCGAGTTACCACGTTACCACGTTCACCACAAGCATCGACATGCAGATATACTCGCGCTCGTGCTCGTAGATAAATACCGTTACTCATTGACCGATTTAACTCCACCATCCTGACCTACACACGCCGCTCGACGCTTCCTCGGCTTGCATCGTCTGCCGAAGCGGATGTACTCGTACATACACACAACATGCCGGTTCCAATACAAAAATAAAGCAAAACAATGGGAAACTAGGTCTCAAGTGAGGTTAGGCTGCAGAAGGCGTGGTGAATACATAAAATGCATCTGAATTGCAGTGAATTACAATTGTTTCTATCTTTGTGATATATTCAGATGACATTTAAGTGTTTTAGTCGTTTTAATGATTTTCGTAACAAAGACGTGATTGTTACACTTTTAACTTTATTCTACTTTACTCCACACGTCTGTTTTGAGTTTGAGATGAGTGTAAGTCACTTATACTTGTTACTTTTTGTTTAATGAATGTTTTGCGCGTGCGTGCACGATTTATCGCTCGGCTGCCTTCCAACCTAGTCTAATTCTTAAACTTTTCTATTTCACAACACCAAACCGCATGAGTGTTTGAGTAAATAACATTTATTAACACATGGTGCGTCAAATGAAGAAGAACAAACAAATTACGAGTGTGAAAAATATTGAGGTTAGAAAAGCGCCGTTAATGTTAAACACTCATTGAATTTACTTTAAAAAAAAACACACAAATATAATGTATGTACATGAAATTAGCAACTTTGCACACAATTACGCGCATATTTTATTCAAATGCAATTAAACGGCATGAAATCGTTGTGTACATTCTGCAATTACCATTACATTAGATTACCGCTATGTGCAGCTGTATCTAAACTTTCTTTATCGCTTTTTATCGTGGCGAATGCACATTGTCTTCATATTCTTTATAAATTTCTTTTTTAATTCGCCAGCGGCTATTTTTTAATCGTATTACAAGCTCATTATGTAAATATTATCACGGCGTAATTTATTACTTGCTAAATTAGACAATTTCACTTATTAATTAGAAAAGTACTTGTAATTAAACCTGGTTAATGAAAAAAGAAAAATTATTGCTGCCTTTCAAAGAAAATTAAAAGTTTTTAAGTTTTATTATCCTGTTAATGATTATATTATCTGTTGATAATCTTATTCTATTGTTTCGAATGCGCTTGCGCCTGTCACTGAGCTTTGACGTGCGTTATCTAATAGACTTTCTTATTGCTTGAATGGTGTTGGCGCGCATTCATCGGTTTCGTTCACGATTCGCGTAGAATAAAATGTGTCACGTTTTAATGCGTTGCATGCGAATTTGTAGTTTCTGCAGTTGTGCTGATTGGCGAGTGCCAATTCAATTGTGGATGACGTGCGTTATCGGTTACTTTCATGTTGGAAACGATTGCTTTCAAATCCAAGACCGCAAATTACTTCGTAATCCACCGCAAGTTGAAGAATTGAAGGTTTCTTGAAACAACTTTCGGGAAGAAAATTGACTTTCAGTGTTAATTTAAGAGCAATTTATCTTTAATTTTCTTGAAAATAATAAGATATTTAGACAATAAACTAGCTTTTGTTAGAAAAATAAAAATTATGTTTCTTTTGTAATTTTTTTAATTAAAACGGAAGAAAATTGACTTTCAGAGTCAATTTAAGAGATGTTTAACTTTGATTTTTTTGAAAATAATAAGATATTTAGGTAATAAATCATTTCTTGTCTGAAATGTTGAAAATAAGTTTTTTTGTAACTTTTCAAATTAAAACTTTGAAATTATAAAACACTAATGGTTTTAATGATTGATAATCTCGTTTGTCATGTGCGTAGTAATTTTTCAAATCACTTTGTTTCCTATCATCAACCAAGAAAATAAAAAGTAATTTCACTGCACGCAAAAGAAAACACTACTCATTAATTACACATTAATGTTAGACTTGAATGAAGTTTTCATGAACACGCTAAACATTATCAACGCGTGGATGCATCACCATTTTGTAATAAACGCTTTCGGATGAATTAATAATGTAATTAATTTTACATTAAACTGTTAATTAAAAGAAATAAAAAAAATAAACATTTACTTACTTAGAATAAAAAATATTTCAACAATTAAAATTAAAAAAATGAATGTTTTATTGTGATTATTCATTGATTTCAAGGTAAAAACCATAAAATATAAAATTTCAAAGATTTATTAATTTGTTAATTGTTAAATCTTCATTATAAGATGCCAAATGTATTTTTGAAAATTACGTAGAATACTAATTCGCCAAAAGAAGAAACAACAATACATCTAATAACATAATAACATTTGAAACACACAAATAACAATCGTAACATCGTGGCATTCTTGGTAATCTCAGAATCTGAGAAAATGACTTAAGTAATACAATCGAGTGTTGAGGACATTGTTTCCAAATGTTTAAATATTTATAACTTGCGCGATGATTTAATATTTGCTTGGTAATTATTTACGTCGAATCAGGTAGAATATAAAATTTGTAATGGTGTTAAACACAAAAGTTCATTGTTCCTTAAAAGTGTATTTAATGAAATTAATTTCCATTCGTTTAAAAATAACTAAATAAATTTACACATGATAATATAATAATATTCAATACTTACAAATTAATATATTGTCCGTGTTTTTAATTTTTATCACTTTTAATCACTTTATTCACTCTGTCACTTGATAATAAAACACATTTTATTAAATTTTTGAATAAAGTTTTGAGTAAAAAGCAGCGTGAGCTTAAAATGTGTGCGCGACTTCTTTGAGTCTTCGTTTCTTCGTTGCGCCGTGGCCGACTGAACCAGACTGAGCTCTCTGCGCAGACCGACTTCTCCGGTTGCTGTTGAGGTCCCGAAGACGGCGGCACGGCGGCAAACTCTACCTCAACCATAAAAACTTTACCACGCTTTGCACCAAGCTACAGGCAACACATCTCGACACCCAGTCGAAGACGGATCCATACCATTGAATTCCATGCAAACAAGAAACCAGTTGACAAACATATGGTGATTTGATGATCATGGTATGAATAATTTATAAATTTGTTGAAA